AGGATGAAGCAAAATTCAGCTAGAACAAAAAGGAGTAAGCTTTACTATTTCATAAGGAGTGATGTCTTCAGTGAAGGTTAAAGCATAGCCTAAAAGATGTGTTAGGCTAAGCTGAACACAGACTGAACAAAAATATTCAGCTTCAAGATTCACATTTGAAATTTTATGTTTGTTATACCACTTCAATTTTCTTCCCCACCCATGTGTTACACAGATGAACATTTTCCCACATTAATGGGGAGAAGGAAAGAGAGCATTATAAATGCAAGTGTGCTGCAAAGATGCTCCAGTCTCTTCCACATCCTTGAAATTTTTTAATCTAAAACTCATTTAACTCACAGATTGGCTCAGACTCTGGAGTCAACATATTTCTATAAAAGAAAACTCTGAGGCACATTTTTCTAGGTTAAAAGTCAAAGTTTCTTTCAGACAATGTTCTAGTTAACTGTTCTCTGGAAAAGATGTATAACACATTACCCTAGACTCCATGAAATCAAACATTTTACTGTGCTCATGGACTCTTCAGGTGATGACTTGAGATACAGCAGAGACAAGAATGGCTTATATTCCTGGTCATCAAAACTGTAGCCTAGGCTGGGAAGATGCAAAAGGCTGAGAAGTGACTGGAAATACTGGAGCTAGAATTAGCTTGTGTATTCATGTCACTATCACCTATGCTCTGCTCAGCTGGTCACAAAGAGATCTGTCAAGGGGCCTATTTATATGTCCTGAGATCATAGCACCTACTCTGAGGTAGTGGGACTGCTTACCTGATGGCTGAGTGTGCCAGTACACAAGATGGAGCTGCTTGGTGTTGTATGACCTTACCTCAGAGATTATAAATGATGCCTATGGTCACTTTACATTCTACGGGACGGCATTGAATCCCCTGGAACTGGAGTATCAGACAGTTATTAGCTGCCATGTGGGTGCTAGGAACCAAACCCAGGTTCTCTGGAAGAACATCCAAGGATCTTAACTGCTGAGCCATCTTTCCAGCCCTTAGCCAGGTTTTAAAACTACCACTGACTTATTTAAACATAGAATGATTAAATGCCAGAGGGTTAACAGTGCCCATTTCCAGAATTTCATTTTCTTTTTCCTTTTTTTTTCTTTTTTTTTTTTTTTTGGTCTTTTTGAGACAGGGTCTCCCTGTAGCCCCAGCTGTCCTGGAACTCACTATGTAGACCAGGCTGGCCTTGAACTCACAGAGATCCGACTGCCTCTGCCTCCCAAGTGCTGGGATTAAAGGTGTGTGCCACCATGCCCAGTGGGAATTTCATTTTCTTAAGAATCCAAATGTATCTTACAAGAGTAGCAAAATTGCAGCTACTAACTTTCATGGAATACCATAACAAATAAGCAGAACCTTAGTTTCTCTGCATCATCTGCATCAAGGTTGATGAACAGATTACTTTTGACCGTACCATCTGCCAGCTGTAAGGTCTCTGATTTTCTAAGCACCATCATACTCAAATCTACTTTCAGGCTTTAGCTATGTCATATCCAGAAAGAACACAGAGAATATGGATAGTAAGTAAGTAAGTAAGTAGATTAGAATCACATCATCATTACAGCTGCTGATGTGGGTGGTCATTCCTTATCAGTGATGACTAGATTTCAGAATTCATGGGCTAGAAAAAAAATCAGAAATAAATTAAGGCACACTGGGGCAAAAAAAAAGTTGCCAAGTTTTATTCTCCAAAATAAGAAAGAACATTGGGAGAACAACTACTATCTAGCATTTGAAATGGGGTCTTCCTGTAGCCCCAGCTGGCCTGGAACTCACTATGTAGAACCAGGCTGTCCTTGAACTCATAGAGATCTACCTGCCTCCGCCTTCCAAGGTGCTGGGATCAAAGGCGTGAGCCATCACACTCAGCTTGAATCATCACATTTTTTAAAAAGATGGATAATTTCAAAATAAAGCAGGACACTTATGAGTGAACAAATTTAATTGAAGAAACTTGGTATTTCTGGTATACAAGTTTCATCAATGAATTCCAGCTTACAAATGCAGGCAAAATCACTCCTGCCTCTGACAGTCTTGTCTCTTTATTGCCTTGCTTTTTCATAATGGTTCTTAACAGTTCAAAAATTTTAGTTTTCTGGGCTGGAGAGGTAACTCAGCAGTTAAGATCACTGGCTGCTCTTGCAGAGGACCTGGGTTCAGTTCTCAGCACCCATATAGCTACTAACAACTGTCTGTAACTCCAGTTCCAGTGGATCTGACACCCTCTTCTGACCTCCTTGGGCACTGTATACATGTGATACACCTAAATACATGCAGGCAAAACATTCATAATCAATCAGTCAATTAATTAATTTAGCTTTCCTTAAGGAATCCACGTCTAAAAATGGTGACCATGTAAGTTAATGGTTATAACACAACATAAATGCTATAAGGACAGGGTGGGGTGTTGAGATAGGTTTCAGAAATTATGTAAAAGCAAGTTTCCCAAAAGAATGGGGAAGACTACTAGCTGCAACAATAAAACTGCAGCTGAGCACACAGAAACAATCCATATTAGACAGTCTCCCCCCAAGAGCCTGAATCATTTGCCAAAAAATAGTTTTATTTGTAGATCAAGAATTTCCTCTTCTTTATTCTATTTTCTGAACTTTTAACAATGCATCATGTATTCATTAATGATAGGAATTTTCCAAAAGCCAACTGTTCTATTTTTTTTTGAGGCAAGGTCCCCTGTAGCCCAGGCTGGCCTGGAACTCACTATGTAGATCAGGCTGGCCTCAGTCTCACAGAGGTTTGCCTAACCTCTGCCTCCCGAGTGCTAGGATTAAAGACTTGTTGCCACCATATCCAACTAAACTAACCTTTACAATTAAAATAGTTGAGTGGGGTGTGGTGGCCTACAGCAGGTGGATCACTGTGAGTTTAGGCCAGCCTGGTCTGCAAAGGGAGTTCAAGGCCAGCCAGGGCTACATAGTGAGACTCTGTCTCAATAAACAAAAAATGTTAGCTTAGGCTAAACAAAAGTTTCCCCTTTAAGGAAAAGCTGTAAAATGGAGATCTTGAAAGGCCAGGGAAACAGTTACAGAAGTCAGTCTCTAGGCTCTGGCTAGCAAATACACAGAAATACACTCATATTCCTTCCATGTACCTATGAGATTCTGGTACCAAGTGTTTTCAACAATGCAAGACTTACTGTCCACATGCCCAATAGGCAGAAATTCCCTGGGTTACAAGTACTGACAGATCAAATACTTAAAAATCAGTCAGAGTCCAAGGTTAGAGAGACCAGCTCTACTACTTAGTACCTCAATGTTCAGCCAACTCTATCACTTGAAACATTTTTTTCATTTGAAAAGTGGAAAACTGCCTGTTTCCCAGGACTTTTGTGCAGATCAACTCATATAATGTAAGTAAGGAACTTAGCACAATACCTGATTTCAGAAAAATGACAGTGCAGGCCACATTCATAATCTAATTGGGAAATAGATGTTTGTTTGCTCTGTTGATTTAGAAAGTCTTTAAGAACCCACTTGCCATTGTTTGCTATACAAACCAATAGAGCTAAAAGCTTTGAGTGCATAAAAAACGTTGTCAGAATGCCAACCTTTTGAATCTTACATGAGCAAGACTTTTTAACGGGTAGTTTCGAAATGTGGACATTTCATATTTGTGGTTGCTTCTAAATAAGCTATTTTTTAAAAATTTTACAAAAACTTTATTGAGAATTTCATACATGCATAAAAGGTGTTTTGATCAAACCATGGCCACTCCCTCCCTAAAATGATTCTTCTGCAAGACTCAGAAATAATTACAAAGCTCTCTCCTTAGGTTCCAACCCTAAAAAGAACTGGAGAGCCTGCTGAGAGAAATACAGGACTTTCCCTTATCAAGGCTTTCTTTTTTTTTTTTTTTTGCATCTTATTTTTTTAAATTTTTAATAACTACATGTTTAGAAGAAGCATTTCATTGCAGCTTTAACATATTCAGTAACACACTCCAGAGCAAGAGTACATCTCTTTCACAAGTGGCTGTTAAGTTTCTAGGTTCACAATTGAATGGGTTTTTGTTTGGGGGGGGGGTTGGTCTTTTTGAGACAGGGTCTCCCTGCAGCCCCAGCTGTCCTGGAACTCACTATGTAGACCAGGCTGGCCTCGAACTCACAAAGATCCACTTGCCTCCTGTATGGAGGAAGGCGGTCCTCTTACAGCTTCCGCAGGGACTCACTGAAGTGTAGAGAGAGGAAGGGGACACCCGCCTAGCCAGCCAGAGATCAGTAGAATCAACGCTGGCGATCAGTGGGGTGACAGATGTCGCAGCCAGATCATCCACGGGTGTTTTTTAAATGTCCCAAATCCCCACGACTTCAAAACGCTTCTCCTGAGCCACCAGAACTTTGAAGTAGTGATCCCAGCATCCCTGCCCTTCCCTTACCCTGAGGTCCTCCCCTTTTCCAGACGCATCTCTGTAACCTAGGTTACAGGAACGCCCGCCTCCTTAGCTGACCAATCATAAACGGCAACGTAACCGGATAGGGCCCGACTAGCTAGAAACCCACAACAAATCACCGGCCTCCGGCAGTGGGAACGGATACGGAAGTAGGGTAACATCTGTTGACCATGAGTTCCGCTGTGGATGAAGTTCAGAGCAAGTGAGTCCGAGGAGGGCCTGGGGCCCAACCTTGCGGCGGAGTGGGGCGGAAACACGCCTGCCAGTGCAGGAGGGGAGCTCGGTATCACAGAGAAAGAAAGAACCGCAGACTAGTAGCCGTGAGGCAGCACGCGAGTGGCCGGGGTCCCCAGGTCGCCCCCGCTGTCCCGGGGGCCACGGTGCAGCGGAAACGCCAGGCGCCCCCCAGCTGAGGGCAGCCCCGCGCGGCCCTCCACCACGGCGGATGCGGGGTGGCGGAGGGAGGATGCAGCCCGCATCTGCGAGCATCCCGCGCATCCACCACTGCAGCGGCAGGAAGCACCACGCAGTCCGAGGAGGCGGCGCCAGCCTCCGGTAAATTTTTCTCGGTAGAGTGCCAGTTAAGAAAAAATCCAAAGAAGAGAACTCGTCCAAATCTCGAATGAGTTCATTTTCTCGGCTGTTTGGAGCTGATTTGTTAGCGAAAATGCCTTGCGCGTGTAACCGGAGGAACTGGAGACGGTGGATTCGTCCCCTGCTCGTCCTCATCTACGTTGTGTCTATTCTGGTCGCTGTTCCCTTGTGCGTCTGGGAACTGCAGAAACTTGAGGTAAGCGGGTCCTGCCCTAGCGGCCTCTAACCTTATACAGGTTGACAGAGACTCCCCGTGCTCCTAACCTAGACCCCTTAGGTTTGGCATGTGAAAACCATTTGTTTAAATAAACCTGGTCTTCGGACATAAACCTCTCTGATTTCTTGTTCCTGATTCTTCAAATCATGCTAAGAGAGGAGGTGGGACCGGGTAGAGAAAAGTTTATGTAGTTGCTTAGAGTCGGGGTTGTTTTTCAGGTATTCTTCAGTTCCCCAAAAGAAGTAACTTTATTCCTGAAATCAGATCTGCTGTTCACATATTGGACTTAACCAGATCACATAAACTACCTTGAAAACACGTACTGAATTTAATTAGCTTTTAACTAACTTCCTAGACAGTTAACTTACCGTTAATTTGACATTACTGATTGTTTTTATTTTTGAAGATTCTTTTTATTTTACCTTTTTCAATATTGTTTAATGAGATAGTCTCATGTCGACTGGCCTGGCCTCGAACTGACTATGTAGCCTAGGATGACCTTGAATTATGATCCTTCTGCCTCCACCATCATCACGACTGTTGATTACAGGTGTAAGCCATCCTACTGTTATTTGTTGCTGGGGATGGAACCCAGGGCTTTGCCCATGCAAGGCAAGCACTCAACCAACTGAGCTACATTTCCAGACCTGAAGTTTTTTTTTTTAATTTTTGTTATTTTGTCTTTTTTTTTTTTTTTTTCCCGGAGCTGAGGACCAAATCCAGGGCCTTGCGCTTGCTAGGCAAAGCTTTCTACCACTGAGCTAAATCTCCAACCCCACTTTTTTTTTATTTTTAAAATTTATGTATTTTAATTTTATGCGTGTGAGTGTTTTGCCTGCACCATATGCATGCATTGCCCACAGAGGCCAGAAGAGTGTGACAGATCTGCTGAAATTGAAGTTACAAACTGTTGAGAGTCACCACTTGGGTGCTGGGAAACAGACTAGGTCATCTGTAAGAGCAGCCAGTGCTCTTAACCCCTGAGCCTTCTCCAGGGCCTCCCCGCCCCCGTCATTAATCAAAGCAAAAGTTTTGTAAGAAGTTCCTGTTTATTTGGTTAAAACAGAGTCTCCTTCTAGCCCCAGGTGGCCTGGAACTCATTATGTAGACCAGGCTGGCCTTGATCTCACCTTGCCACCTGCCTCTTTCCCAAGTGATGGCATTAAAGGCATGAGCCACCATACCTGGCTCTTTGTGTATTTCTTCATATTGTATTGTGATTTCAATAAACTACTACAAGCTGGAAAACCCAAATGTAAATACTTACCTAACATAAATGCTTAATATAAGTTCAAATTATGAATAATAACCAGAAATAATTTTTATTGAGATACACTTATTTTAAAAGGGTTATTGGGGCTGGAGAGATGGTTCAGCTATTGAGAGCAGTGGCTCTTCTTGCAGAAGACCTGGCTTCAAATCCCAGCACCCACATGGCCACTAACAACCATCCATATATCTAGTTATATGGAATCTGATGCCCTCTTCTGTCCTCCATAGGCAGTACACAACATGGATGCACTTACGTATATGCAGGCATAACACCCATACATTATAAAATAAAAATAAATGAATCAGGACTGGTGAGATGGTTCAGCAGTTAAGAGCACTGGATGCTCTTGCAGAGGACCCATGTTCAATTCCTAGCACCCACATGGCAGCTAATAACCATAACTCCAGTTCCAGGGGAATCCAGCACCCTCATCTGACCGCCACATGCATTGCATGATATAGGTGCACTTATACACATGCAGGCAATACACTCATACACATACAAATAATAAAAAAATTTTTAATTTTTTTTTTTTTCGGTCTTTTTGAGACAGGGTCTCCCTGTAGCTCCAGCTGTCCTGGAACTCACTATGTAGACCAGGCTGGCCTTGAACTCACAGAGATCCGCCTGCCTCTGCCTCCCGAGCGCTGGGATTAAAGATGTGCCCCACCATGCCCAGCCCTATTTTTTAATATTTTAAGTTATGGCAGGACCATGGCTGTTCTGCCCCCTCTCTTGTTGTAGAAAAGGTTTTTTACTTTAATGTATCTAAAAATATTTTGGTATTTGTTCACTAAATTATTTTTTATTGACTTTTCTTAATAATAGTTTGTATAGTTATTTTAAGGGTAATATGATATTAAATATATCTCATTTGGTAAGTATTTAAGTTATTTTAATTTCTCCACCAAATTTTAGGTATAGCATCTTAATATAAGTACCATTTCTCACTTTGAGATAGTATAGTAAGATAAGGGAAATTATATTATTTCAGCTTAAGATTTCTTAAGTTGCAGCCAGGTATGATGGTGCATGCCTTTAATCCCAGCACCTGGGAGGCAGAGGCAGGTGAGTTCCAGGCCAGCTGGGACTACAAGGAGACCCTATCTCAAAAAACTAGAAAAAAATAATAAATAAAAAGATTACTTAGTTGTGAGTTTCAACAGTAATTTTTAAAGTGCTACTATCCTTTAAGACAGAGTCTATCTGTCATGCTGTCTCCACTGCTAATACCCTGAGCCAGGTTCCCCAAGTTCTGATAGGGATGATTAGTTTAATGAAGGTCATTCGGATGAACATGTCAAATAATGCAGTTGATATGAAAGTCTAGAACACAAAACGGTGTAAGCTACAGATAGACGAGTGGGGATTTGTCCCAGTCTACTCTGCCATAAGAAAATACCATAACCCAGGCTGGGGAGATGGCTCAGCTCATAAAGCAGTAACCATACAAGCCTGATGACCTTGAGTTCGATCCCTTGAACCCTCATGAATGTGGTGGCAAGCATCTGTAATCCTGTCGCTCATAACAGCTGCAGTGAGATGGGAGGTAGAGATAGAATTGCCTGGAAACTTGCAGGCCAACTAGCTTGGAATACACAGTATACCTTGCAAAAGCAAGAGAGACACTGTCTCAACAATGGGGAAGGAAAGAACTGACTTCTCAAAGAAGCCTTCCGACCTCCAGACCACACATATACAAACGCAAAATAAGTTTTTTAAAAAGATACTACCAGAAACTTACTGCCTTCAACAACAAATATATTTTCTCAGTCCTGAAAACTGAAGGGGCCAGTGGGGTTGATGTCTGGTACAGGTCCTCCCTTGGGTTGCAAATGGCCACATTTTTGCTGAATCCTCACATGATTGAGAGAAAATCTCTTCATTTCATGAGATTACTAGCACCAAGAGACTAGGGTCTCACCTTTATGACCTCATTTCATCCAAATGATTTCCCCTAGGCCCTATCTCCAAATATGTTCAGCTGCATTAGGGGTTAGAATTTCAACATATGAATGAGGCAATTACAGGTTAATTCAGAAGTAGTTGCCAGAATGTAGATAATATCCAAAATCATAAAGATACTTGACATGAAGGAGAAAAAGAAGGAATGGCAAAGGATCCAGCTCTGATACTCAGTGTGAAGTAGAACAGGAATTTACAAAGAGGATCAATGAAGTAGATGTCCAGGACTGTTTTAAGATGGACATTTGGGGCTGGAGAGATAGCTCAGTGTTTAAAGACATTTAATACTCTTGTAGAATGCTCAGAGCTGATTGGCATCCCAACACCAGGGGATCTGGCCTCTGTAGGTACCTGCATTCATGTGCATGTGCGCACACACACACACACACACACACACACACGATCGTTTTTAAAGAAACATTTCATTGATACTATTTACTAGATGAGTCTGTATATCTGAAGTCCTTAACACTTTGCCCAGTGAATTGTACGTGTTCAATAAGCCCTAATTACCACTATCGTTTTTCAAATACCAGTATCGTTATAGCATTGGAACAGCAATTCCAATACAATAGCAGTTTACATAGAATTGGGCTCTTTATTAAACAGCTAATTCAAAATTAAATGTTTCCACTTGAGCACTAGATGTACTTTGACTTAAGACTAGGGACATTTTCAGTGAAAAAAGTTTGTCTTTCAACTGTAGCTGACACTGTAAAAAGTCAGGGGGAACTGCAAGTGGAAGACAGGAGATGCAGAGAGCTCATCCCATGCTTTTGATTTACTTGGTATTTATTGGGATGGCAAGGTAACTGTCTGTACCACTTAAAGTAGCCCCCTTATACTGTTAGCTGGCAGAGCTTGGGTAGCCAAAGTTCCGTAGGTAATGGCACTGCTCTCTCGATGTCGTCCCTTGCCCTGTTCATCTTTAGGCCCCATGGAATTTGTTCTTCCTTCCCCTCAGGAGGCTGAGCCCAGAAAGCACTCTGATTCTTTACTCTGATGTTTTCTTCTGAGACAGCATACTCCTGGATGCTTGTCTTTAATAGTTTTCTTTCCTCCAGTTATCTTAGAAAAAATCTACCCAAACCTTATTTTGTGAGGAAAAAAATCTCAATGGATAACTTTAAGAATATTCATGATATCTTTATATCTATGTGTCTTAAATTTGAATAAGTTAAAGATTAAAATTTTACTAAAATTGCCGGTGTGGTGGCACATGCCTTTAATCCCAGCACTTAGGAGGCAGAGGCAGGTGAATCTCTGTGAGTTAGAAGCCAGCCTGGTCTACATAGAGCATTCCAGGCCAGGTGGGGCTACAGGGAGACTTTGTCTCAAAAAAGACCAGAAAAAAAAAAAAATTTACTAAAATTGACAGGCATGCTGGTTCATACCTTTAATCCTAGCACTTGGGAAGCAGAGTCAGGCAGAACTCTGAGAACTATGTAGGCCAGCCTGGTCTACATAGTGAGTTCCAGGCCAGCTGGGACGATAAGGAGACCTGTCTCAAAAAAAAAGGAAAAAAAGGGGGGGGAGATTGCTGGAGAGATGGCTCAATGTTTAAGTGCACTGGTACACTGGCTGCTCTTGCAGAGGACCCTGGTTTGATTGCCAGCACCCTTTAGCAACCAGCAGCCATCTGTAAGGGGCGTTGCACAACACAAATGCACTTACACACATGCTGGCAATGCATTCATACACATAAAATTTAAATAATAAATTATTTTTAAAACAACCAAAATGCTAAAATTAATGTTAATAATTTCTACATATACTTGCTATTTAAATATCTACATATGAAAAGGATTAAAATTCAATTTTACGTAACTAATCAAAGCAACTAAAACCTAGCCGTTCAATTTAATGACATTACTTTAGACAGACAGATAATTATCCAGATTACCATTCTCCATATAAAAAGAATGCTAACTCTGGCTGGGCCTGGTGGCACATGCCTTTAATCCCAGCACTTGGGAGGCAGAGGCAGGCAGATCTCTGTGAGTTCAAGGCCAGCCTGGTCTACATAGTGAGTTCCAGGCCAGCCATGGCTACAGGGAGACCCTATCTCAAAAAAAAAAAAAAAAAAAAAAAAAAAAACAGAACAATACTAACTTTGTGGTGTAGGATTTTTAAACTTTGGCATGTTGGAGCTGGAGAGAGGGCTTAGTAGGTAAGAGCACTTACTGTGCATGCATGATGATCTGAGTTTGAATCCCCAGCACCCATGTGAAAAGATGGCATGGCCATGCATGCCTGAAGGGCAGAGACAGGAGGATCACTGGTACTTATGGTCACCAGCCTAGCTGTAGGTTCAGTGAGAGGCCCTGTTTCAGGGGAGTAAGGCAGAAAGTGATAGAGCAGGACACCCAGTGAACACCTCTGACCTCTGCACACAGGTATGCACACCTGCACATTCATGAGCATACACCACATACACCAAGTGGCATGACTGCACTAATGCCTCATTTCTTGGATCACTTAGTTGGTTTATGATTGAATGAAGCTTTCTTATGGTAAATTGTGAAGCCATTTGGTCTTCATTAGTCACGTGGGTGCTGGCAGTTCAAACTCAAGTGATTTTTAATGTTTAAAGTGCTCTTACATTAAAAGACTTCATCTGGGCCTAGTGGCACACACCTTTAATCCCAGCACTTGGGAGGCAGAGGTAGGCGGATCTCTGTGAGTTCGAGGCCAGCCTGGTCTCCATAGTGAATCCAGGACAGCTGGGGCTACAGGGAGACCCTGTCTCAAAAAAGACCCCCCCCCCAAAAAAAAAAAAACTTCATGAGGAAAAATAGGTCCTCTTCCTCCAAAAAACACAAGTTGTTTGTTTTGAAGAAATTTTAAAATACCTACTAATTGAGCTGGGGAGCTGGCTCAGCAGGTAAGAGCATGTATTGCTCTAACAGAGGAATTGAGTTCAGTTCTCAGCACCCACATTGGACAGTTCACAACTGCCTGTAACTCCAGGTCCAAAGCATCCAACACCCTCTTCTGGCCTCCAGGGGCACCTGTACTCACAGGTACACATCCCTACACTACACACACATATATATATATATATATATATACATAATGAAAACTAAATCTTAAACATTTTTTAAGATTTTATGTTGTATGAGTATTTTGTTTTCCTGAATGTTAATCCACCACATGCATGCAGTGCCCGTGGAGACCAGAAGAGGGTATCAGATCCACTGGACCCTGAGTTACAGATAGTTGTTAGCCACGTTATTGGTGCTGGGAACCAAACAGGGCAATAAGTGCTCTTAATCACTGGGCCATCTCTACTGCCCCCAAGTAAATCTTTTTTTGAAAAGTTATTAATTAGTTGAGAAATATCAAGTGTTACTAGTGATCCAGTGGAAATTTAAGAAGTAAAAATAACTTTGTTGAGTTCTTTGGGTTTTTGTTTTTGTCTTTTCGAGACAGGGTCTCCCAGCTAGCCTGGAATTCACTATGTAGACCAGGCTGGCCTCAAACTCAGAGATCTGCTTGCCTCTGCCTCCCAAGTGCTGGGATTAAAGGCAACCACAACTATACCTGGCCCAAGTTCTTTGGTTTTAATAACAGAATTTAAATTATTGTATTCTTTTATTTTTTAAGGTTGGCATACATACTAAAGCATGGTTTATTGCTGGAATCTTCTTGCTGTTGACAGTACCTGTGTCACTCTGGGGAATACTACAACACTTAGTACATTATACACAGCCGGAGCTGCAAAAACCAATTATAAGGTCAAATTTTACTGTATTTTGATATTACTAGTGTTGACTGGCGTAGTTCATAAGTATGACATGCCATGTTCTTCTCTTTTACTTTCCAAATAGGATTCTTTGGATGGTTCCCATTTACAGTTTAGATAGCGTAAGTATATATTTCTTTCTATTTCATTAAGAACTTCTTTGGTGTTTAATTTGGTAATGAAAATATGTCATTGACAAAGAGAGATTAGTAAGTTTCACTAACTTTTTTAAAAATGTAATTATAGAAAATGAAGAATGCAGATAGTTTTTTTTTTTTTAATGTATGGTTGTTTTCCTTGCTTAGTCTTTTACATTTTCAGATTAGCAGCTCTTAGTCATTTAAAGAATGAAGTGTTTTAAATTGTGCTCATCCCATGGTCACCACAAGGGATTGATTCTGGGAACCTCTTTCCACCTCAGACACCAAAATCTGCTGATGCTCAAGTAGCTTATATAAAGTAGGTAGTATTAATATATAAACTAAGCACATTTGACACAACTTAACTCACCTACACATGACAGTCATCTCCAGGTTACTTATAACACCTAATATAAATGCTGTATTTGTTGCACTGTATTGTTAAAAGAGTAATGACTGTCTTGTTTGTTCTAAATATTTTTGGGCAGGAGTTGGTTGAATCTGTGGATGCAAATAAGGTTGTTGATTATATATCCTCATGCTTTTCAGCTGTTAGGTCTTTTATTTGTACCAAAAAAGAAAAAGAAAAATTTTCCACAATGGACACAGATGCTGTTGTAATTCAATGTAAAGAAAATATCTCCAGGGGCTGGAGAGATGGCTCAGTGCTTAAGAACACTGATTGTTCTTGCAGAAGACCTGGGTTCGAATCCCAGCACCCACAAGGCAGCTAACAGCTGTCCATAACTTCAGTGCCAGGGGATCTGCCAACCTTGTCTGACCTCTGTGGGCATTGCACGACATGGGTGCACTTACCATGCAGGCAATACACGTAGACACATAAAAAAATAAATAAATAAATAAATAAATAAATAAATTATGAAAATGAAAATGTCTTCAGTAGCATTTGCTGTGATCCTATTTTGAATTTCAGATTCTATTTGAGACACGATTAACTAAGTGTTCAAACAGTTAGCTTTTCGTTTAGCTGTATCTAAGATGTTTTTTGCCTTTAAAGCTTCTTTTACAGGGCTGGGGATGTAGCTCATTGTGGAAAGCACCCCCACCCCACCATGCACACAGACACTTTGGGTTATCTGGTAGATATAATCATAAATTTTAGAGAATTTGCTGTGAGCATATGTAGGCTATCCCAGGTTTTAAAGTTAGCTTTTGTGAGTGCCATGGATTTGAGTGGCGACTCATTTTCTCTCAGTACAACTCCTTTTATCAACTGTGCTTTTCTATAGTGGGTGGCTTTGAAATATCCCAAAATCGCAATATATGTGGATACCTGGAGAGAATGCTACGAAGCTTATGTCATTTATAACTTTATGATATTCCTTAACAATTTCCTGAGATTCCGATTCCCAAACCTGATGTTACACCTTGAAGCCAAAGATCAGCAAACACATCTTCCACCATTATGCTGCTGTCCACCGTGGGCAATGGGGGAGTAAGTATGTTTGGTTCGATGCTACTGTTTGGGCTTTACATAAGCAGAACTTGTAAATCTCAGCTATTCCACAAGGCAGTGTATTAAGTACTACAAACGGGGCAAAACAATTGGACAGAGCCCTTACACTATTCAGTACAAGTACAATGTGAAAGCTAACAAAATACAGTTTTTAAAAAAAATTTATGTACATGAGTATTTTGTCTGTATTTAAGTATACCCATGCATGCAATGGCCACGGATGCTAGAAGAAAGTGTCGGTTCCCCTGAAACTATAGTTTTGGACGGTTATTAGCTGTAATGTGGGTGCTGGTAATCGAACCCAGATCCTCTGGAAGAGCAACCAGTGCTCTTAACTGCTGAGCCATCACTCCAGCCCCACAAAATACATTTTTATAATGCACGTGTTAGGAAGTTTTTTGAGTTTTTTTGTTTTACTTTGCTTTGCTTTGTTTTTGCATTGCTTACCCAAATAGAAAAGTTCAGCAAGGTACTGCAGGAAAACAAACTTGGAAAATATTTAATGACCATTGTTTTCACAGTTGGGAACCAGGGCCTCGGGTAAAATCACACAACTAGTTAAAATACTTAAGAAAATCACCAAGGCTGGCAGACAGCATACGAAAAGCAATAAATAGCAGTGTTCTAGCAAAATATATTGGTTTTCATTTATGATATGTTCATGTACAACACTAAAGGAAGCCAAGCTTGACGTGTTTACTTGCATTTTTGAAAGTAAAAGGTTAAGATTGCATGTTTACACAAAGGATTTCTACTACTACTTTTCTCATTGCTATGACAAAATAATTAACACTAGCAACTTAAGGAACAAAGGGTTTACTTTGACTCACTATTTGAAGGTCCAGTCCATCATGGTGGTGAAGGCAGGGCAGCAGGAGCATGAGGTTATACTGCATATACAGTCAGGAAGCAGAGAGATCAGTGCTGGTGCTCGGCTTTCTTTCTCATTTTTATTCAGTCCAGGACCTCAGCCTATCAAGTGGTGCTGCCCGCATTCAGGGTCTTCTCTGTTCCATTAAATCTTTTTGGAAACATTTCACAAGGAACCGGAATCCTAACTGTAAATACTTTCTACATATACATGTGTATACACACACACACACACGACTCATTTGTCGCTCAGTTTTTCTTTTTTAATGGTGTTATCACCTTTCTGTCACTGTGGCTGAATTCATGAGACAATCAGGTTTGTTTGGCTCACAGATTGAGACCACTTGGTCCTGTTGCATTGTGGTACATCATCGTGGGAGAAACATACAGAGGAGACCTGGTAGCCTCATGGTGGCCAGGAAACAGAAAAGGCCAAGGTCCTTCAATCTCCTTCTCTTCCCTTTGTTAACTGTAATAGAACTTAAGGGAGGTCTTTCAGAAGACACAGTTACTAAATATTTCAAAATGGTATTTAGATCATTTCCTTGCTGCAATCTACATTCTTCCCCTGCTGTCATTTAGGATGACTAAATTGGAGGAATTCAATATAAATGTGGTGTCATTTGTCAAAGTGATTTTAATTTGGAGGCTTTGAGAGGTTCTGATGCTACTCAGTAGTTGATATACTAAGCTCTCTCTCTTTTGCAGAATGTTGCTATTTAGATGCAAGCTGGGTGTACTACAGTATACAGTGGTCAGGCCATTTACCACAGTTACTGCATTGTAAGTATACAGACTGACTTTCTATTATCTTTTTTCTTTTTCTTTTTTTTCTTTTTTTTTTTTGTCTTTTTGAAGCAGGGCCTCCCTGTAGCCCCAGATGTCCTGGAACTCACTATGTACACCAGGCTGGCCTTGAACTCACAGAGATCCACCTGCCTCTGCCTCGAAAGTGCTGGGATTAAAGGCGTGCCCCATCTTCTTTTAATCTTCACATTCCAGGCCAGGAATGCAGCTTGGTTGGTAGAATGCTTACTTTGCATGCACAGAGCCCTGGGTTCAATCCTCAGTACCACAAAAACTGGGTTATCTTAGCACTTAGGAGGTAGACACAGTAAGATCAAGAGTTCAGGGCCAGCCTGGACCCTGTCTTTAAAAAAAAAAAAAAAAAAAAAAAAAAAAGAAGGAAAGAAAAGAAAAAAAAAAAAAGAAAGAAAGAAAGAAAGAAGGAAAGAAAAGAAGCCCAATTTTTAAAAAAAAAAAAAAAAAAAAAAAAAAATTCCATGGTCTAATGTGAGAAAAACAAGGAAAAAAGAGAGTGTTTGTGGTGTAAGTCTGGTCTGGTATATAGAAGCCATATAACATTAAGATAAATAATGAAAGGACTCACCACAGGATCCACATCCTCCTGAAAGCATATTGTTAAACACTTTGAAAAAAAAATACTCCCTTTTTCTTTTTCTGAGATAGTCTTGCTGTGTAGCCCAGGCTGGCCTAGAACTCATAGTCTTCGTGCTTCTGTATCCCTGTGTTGAGATTACAGACATGCACCAACCAGGCCTGGCAAATGTTTTTTCAAACATTAACATTTACACAGCTTTAAAAACTATTTTATGAAGTGAAGTATGCTGCATTAGTTAGGTTAATTACACGAATTTATTTTCTACATTGTTAATTTGGAGTATATCGGGAGTACTATCTTTTGTTTGTTTGCTTTTGTCTCTGAAACAGTCTCCCTGTAGCCCCAGCTAGCCTGGAACTGGCTCTGTAGATCAGGGTGGTCTCAGTCTCACAGAGAGCTACCCGCCTTACCTCCCAAGTGCTGGGATTAAAGACATGCCACCACGCCAGCTTGAGAGTACATCTTTAAAAAGTTGTCTAGTTCGGACTGGAGAGATGGCTGAGAGATGGCTTAAAGATGAACACTGGCTGCTCTTTCAGAGGACTCCAGTTCAGCTACCAGCACCCACATGGCAGCTAATAAACATTTGTAACTCCAGTTCCAGGGGATCCAACACCATCTTCTGGTCTCCATGGGCACTGCACACAATGGTGCACTTAACATGCAGGCAAAACACAAAAGCAAAAATGTCTTAAGTCATCTTTTTCTTTAAAATTTTTGAGATCAGAATGGAGTATCATCAAGCTACCTGACCTGAAAATTCCCTGAAAATTGCAGAATGTCAATTTATAGCAGGTGGACCATATGTTTCATCTGCTAGGCCTTAATCCTGCAGCTCACAAGATAAAAAATATTCAACTCTATTCAGCTCTTTATTATGCCTTTGAGCTAGAATTATTTATGCAGGTATGCCTTACTTCTTTGCTGCTTAGAAATTGAGTGAGCATGGAACTTAGTATTTGTGGTAAAACTCGAAAGTATATGGGTCTTCATGTTATTTATCTTCAAGACAACTTAGGGGGCAAAAAAAAACTGAGCTGTAGCTGTAGATATATATATGTTTAACAATCGAGTTAAGCATCATAATTTTTAAAGTATTTTATTTTTTACATGTATCAGTGTTTGTCTGCATGTTTGTTGGTACACCACACACATGCAATGCCAGAGGCCAGAAGAGGGTGTTGGATATCCTGGAATGGGAGTTACAGAGGTGGTAAGCCGCCATGTGGGTGCTAGGAACTTAACCTAGGTCTTCTGCAAAGAGCAACCAGTGCTCTTAAGTGCTGAGCCATCTCTCCAACCCCAGACATCATAATTTTTTTGGTTTGTTTTCTATCTTTTTGAGACCTGCTCTCCCTGGAGCCCCCACAGGCCTGGAACTTACTATGTAGACCAGGCTGGCCTCCATCTCACAGAGATCTGCCTGCCTCTGCATGTGCCACCATGCCCAGCTTATAATTTTTTGAAGTTAATAATTACTTTCTAGTTTAATGGTTCTTAGTCTGTATTTCCTTCAAGATTAAGGGAGTAATCATTTGATAACATTTCTAGAAAAGCATTACTCTTTCAACTTTCAAACCGTCTTTGTGACCAAAGTCAAATGATTGTTTATAAGTGCATTCAAATAAACAGATTCTAAATTTTAAGTATTGCTGTCACTGTACTTTAAAATAAGTGTTCATTTGGGTAATTGTAAAGTTGTCTCATTTTTACCATTTTTCAGGGTCTGTGAGATACTCAATGTATATGATGAAGGGAACTTTAGTTTTTCCAATGCTTGGACTTACTTGGTTATAATAAATAATGTATCTCAGTTGGTAAGTTAATCATTCTTGTTCTAAATTAGTTCCTATAGCTAAATATTTTTAGGTTCTGTTTCTTGGAATTAAAGTACTGCTTTTTACTTTATATAATAGAGAACTTAAAACATCTTTAACACATACCTTTATACAATATAAAAGTATAGTAATATGTTTGTGAATTATTCTGTGACTTATACCTGGACCTGTTGGTTGCATTTGTTACATATTGTACTGCTCTGTGGGTATGTCATACATGAAAGCACAATACCATCCAAACAAAACATGACGTACATGTAAACACATACAATAGGCCTAAGGTTCAAATAAAAACGGAATAATACAATTCCCTGGTATATATTTGGAATTAGAGAAAAATTAATACTGACAAAGTTGGAAGAAATGGATGCTGTTCTAGAAGCCAAATGGCTATAAAGATACAGTGTTTGATCTTATGTGCAGACACGGTAACATGAGTATGTACTATTAAAACTTTTTTTTTATTTTTTTTATTTTTGAGACAGGGTCTCCTTGTAGCCCCAGCTGTCCTGGAACTCCCTATTTAGACCAGGCGGGCCCCGATCCCCCAAAGATCCACTTGCCTCTGTCTCCCAAGTGCTGGGATTAATGGCTGTGCCCCCCCCGGCTTTTAAAACCTTTTTTTTTTTTGGCCTCTTTGAGGCAGGGTCTCCCTGTAGCCCCAGCTGTCCTGGAACTCACTATGTAGACCAGGCTGGCCTTGAACTCACAGAGATCCGCCTGCCTCTGCCTCCCAAGTGCTGGGACTAAAGGCATGCACCACCACGCCTGGCCATATTAAAATATTTTTTAAAAAAAGAAAATTGATTTTATAGCTAGTGGTATATCTCAGTGGTAGAATGCTTGCTTAGTGTGCACCAGGCCTAGAGCATTTGATCCCTAGCATGAGGCTAGCAACTTACATACACAAAGAAATGGGTCAATTCTAAGAAGCTGAATAACTTTTTTTTTGGTGCTGGGAATAGAGCCCAAGGTCCCAGTGCATGGTAGGCAAGCACTCTGCCATTGAACCATAGCCCCAGCCCAAGAATCTCAGGAACTTTTTATGTATTCCTTCATTGTCTTCATATTCTAAAGTTTTTAATGAACATTTTTTGATTTTTTTTTTTAATAGAAAAAAGTAAACTTTAGGAAAATGTTCATTGGGATTCAAATAATACACTTGGTCATTATACCTGAGATTATAAAATAGATCTTTAGCAATTATTTTCAAAACTTCAGCTGGACTAACATACTACCTCAAGAAAAATTGTTTCTCTGGAGGAAATTTCATGATCACAGCTTTATTGTAACTGCACTCAATGTGTTACCTTGTAAATTGTGTGTGTAAGAGACTAGCTAAACATTTAGGGAATAGTGGTAGTTTGTGTTTAAAAGCTGATGTGATTGCTTTTCTATTTTGATTGAACAAAACCCTTTTCCTTCATTCATGTCGTTTATTCATTGTTCTCTTTATGAGCTCCAGCAAGAACACTTAAAAACATTTTCAGAGATGTTCTATATCTCTTTTGAGAAATTTCATTTATACGTACCTGCAACCAAAATGTTAAAAACTGTTAATCTAAAAACAACAATAAAGGCTTGAAGATTTTCCCTGTACTATTACCATACACCAGGCTCTGGTTTATAACTGTAATATTCTTTTTGCTATATTTTTACTGAAGAGCTTTAAATGTTGGCTTTTGTCTCTAGTTTGCCATGTACTGTCTCCTGCTATTTTATAAAGTACTAAAGGAAGAGCTAAGTCCTATACAACCTGTTGGCAAGTTTCTCTGTGTAAAGCTGGTGGTTTTTGTTTCCTTTTGGTAAGTATTGTTTTCTCTTAAATATTCTCAGTTTTATAAATGATAACAAACTTTTGGTTAAGGAAGAGTTTTAAAGTAGTGTTAATGCAAAGCCAGGTGTAGTAGCACATGCCTGTAATCACAGCACTTGCAGGAATGAACAGGTCTAGCAATTCAAGGCCAGCCAGAGCTATATAGCTCAAGAGAAAAACAAAATAATGCTAATACAGAAGGTGGATTAAAATGTCTCTACTTACCTAAAATAATCATCTCTTAGGTAGGGCTGAAGAGATGGCTCAATGGTTCAGAATACTTGCTCCTCCTCTTCCAGAGGACCAACAGTTCAGTTCTCAGCACTCACACTGGGTGGCTTACAACTGCCTGTAACTCCAGCTCCAAGGAATCCAATGCCCTCTTCTGGCTTCCATGGGCATATGCATGTACTTGCACAGACACACATACATACACATAAATAATAAAATCTTTTTAAAAAGATCATCCCTTTAACTATTGTGGGGTTTCCAGAAATGGGGTATAAAGATGATCTCAGCAGTTAAAAGCACTGGCCGCTCTTACAAAGGACCAAAATTTAGTTCCCAGCACCCACATGGCAGCGGCTGCTCTTACAAAGGACCAAAATTTAATTCCCAGCACCCACATGGGAGCTAACAACTATCTCTAACTCCAGGCCCATGGACTCTGCTGACCTCTTCTGGCCTCCATGGACACTGCACAAACATGGTGCACGTGCATACAGGCAAAACGCTCTCACATAAAATAAATTTTAAAAGATTTACGGAAACAGGAATCAGTCACGGGTGGTGATTACACATCTGTAATCCCAGCACTCAAGAGGTTCTACATGATTTCAAAGCTTAGGATATATAAACTAAGTATTGAAGTTCTGAGATTACATAATCAAAGTTCACCTTCTGAATCTGTAATAGAATAAATTTGTAAAGCAAGGTGAGTATATTTAATATAGGTGCAGCTTGTTCAGAATATGCTGTGGAGGCAGGGTGGTAGAGAATCCAAGGTGCACTGAGATGTTAACTTTTTTAAATTGCATGCTTTTGTCTTTCTATTTGTGTGTGTGACATTTGTGTGTGTTCATGTGTGTGAGTAAAGGCATGTGCATGCATGTGGAGGTCAGAGGACAGTTTCATGTGTCAGTCCTTGCCTTCCATCTTGTTTGAGACAGGGACCGTTTATTGTTCACTGCTGCATGCACCGGGCTAGCTGGCCACAATCTTGCAGTGATCTGCCTGTCTCCACCTCCCATCTCACCATAAGAACATTGAGTTTACAGATGTGTTGCTACCATGCCTAGCTTTATATGGGTTCTGGGATTCTAACTCAGGTTCCCACACTTGTGAAGCAAGCACTTAAACCACTGAACCACCCACAGAGCCCTTAATTGCGAATGTTTAAGACAGTTGGTGATTTTATGATTTAGATTTGCATTGACTTTTTCTTAACATATAGGCAAGCAGTAGTTATTGCTCTGTTGGTCAAAGTTGGCGTTATTTCTGAAAAACGTACCTGGGAATGGCAGAGTGCAGAAGCTGTGGCCACAGGACTTCAGGTTAGTGCTGTCTCAACTCAAAGAATTTTCCTATTTCTTAAGAAAGTTCACATACTGTTGCCACTAAACCTGCATTGTGAACATTGGAGGTGAGAAAACTAGAACCCTAGAAAAAGGGGCTACAATTAGTGATTTGTAATTATTTTTATTTATTTAAAGAGTTATTTTTGTGTGATTCTGTGTATAGCTCTGTGTGTGTGAGTGTGTGTGTGTGTGTCTGTCCATTCACGTGAGTACAGCATCCACAGAGGTCAGAAGAGGGCGTCAGGTCCCCTGGAATTGGAGTTACAGATGGTTGGTATCCACCATGTAGGTGCTGACAACTGAACCCAGGTCCTCTGTAAGAGCAGCCATTGCTTTTAACCACTGAGCCATCTCTCCAGCCCCAATTTGTAATTATCTTTGTTCTTCCTAGTCCATTTATAACTGCATAGTCCCTTTAGTCTTCAGGTACTACATTAATGGATTGAGAAATTGACTCATGGAATTCAAAAGAGATTTAAATCCTTAGCTTGTCTTCTTCTTTTGATCGTGGTATTTACTTATCTATTTATTTATTTATTGCATTTTTTAAATTGAATTTTTGTGATTTTCATACAATGTATGATGGCTTTTAGATCCACTCCCCTCTCCTCACTGCCCCCACCCAATTTAATGAACTTTCATTCATTTTATATATATATATATAAAGATGGCCTTTCAAGTATGATTTGTGTCTCCAAAATGCCCTTCAGTATCCATTCACTGGGCCTACCAGGAGCCCCATCACTGTGAGACTCTGTCTTTTCCCTTTCCCAGCAGCCATCAGTTGCCAAAAGTTCATCCTGTCACTTTTTAAAGAAGTAAAAAAGTTGTTTTGGAAAATGAAATCTGGAATTTCTTTTATGGGATGAGTGTTTTGCCTGCATGTATGCAAGTGCACCTGTGTCATTCAATGCCTGAGGAGGTCAGAAGAGAGTATCAGATTCCTCTGGAACTGAAGTTACAGAGGGTTGGTTGTAAGCCACCATTTTGATGCTGGGAATCGAACTTGGGTCTTCTGCAATAGCAGCCAGTGCTCTTAACTGCTGAGCCATCTCTCCAGCCCTGAAACCTGGAATTTTTTAAAAAGCTATTGACATCTTAAGTAACTTCAAAAATGCACTTAGAAAACATTAGCAATTTGGAAAATTAGATGTAAGCCCCAAAATGTCTGATCTTTTTTGCTGTCCTAGGATTTTATAATTTGCATTGAGATGTTCTTTGCGGCTATTGCTCATCATTACACGTTCTCATATAAACCATATGTGCAAGAAGCAGAAGAAGGGTCATGCTTTGATTCTTTCCTTGCTATGTGGGATGTTTCAGATATCAGAGATGATATTTCTGAACAAGTAAGGCGTGTTGGTAAGTAATACCCATTTAATTCTCATAAATAGTTTGTGTGCGTCTGTGTGTGCACATGGAGACCAGAGGTCAACTTGGGTGTCATTCCTCAGGAGCTGTCCACCTTTGGGGGGAGCAGGTGGAACATACAGTCTCCCTGTCCTAGGGCTCAGATTCTGGTAGGCCAGTGAACTCTGGGGATCCTCCTGTCTGCCTCCCCAACACTGGGATTGCAAGCACATGCTACCATGCCCAGTTCTCTACATGGGGTGCTGAGGTGTCAAGCAGTTTACAGACTGGGCTTTTTCCTGCTAAGGCCATTTATTTTAAGAAAGAAAACTAGGGGCTGGAGAGATAGCTCCATGGTTAAGAACACTGCACTGGCTGGGATCCTGGTTTGTTACCCGGCACCTACATAGCAGCTGACAACTGTAACTCCAGCTCCAGGGACTCTGACACCCTCTTCTGGTCTTCGAGGGCATTGTACACACAGGTACACAAGCAAAACACACATAAAATACATCAAAAAATTTATTTTTAAAAATAAGAAAATTGTTTAAAGCTGTGCAGTGGGACAGGCTCTTCATATTTGGGGAAGACGAAAAGAGGGAAGTGGGGAACTTATTTTTATAAAAAGTTTTACAATAGTAAAAATAACTTTTGCCTAATGTAGAAACCTTTATATTACTTCAAAGGAAGGACAGTGCGAGGCTACTCCCAAAAAAAAAGTTTTCCTGAAGATCAAGAGCAAAATGAACATACGAGTTTACTGTCCTCATCCTCACAAGATGCAGTTTCTGCTGCTTCTTCAAAGCTGTCTTCACCCCTAGGGCAGTACCAAGGCTTTGGACACACAGTTACTCCACAGACTACACCAGCTACGATACGTGAAGAAGTAGTTGACATTCCAGAAGAGCAAAAAGGGCCTGATGAAGCGACGGACCAGTAAATACTGTGTGAAAGCAAACTGCCACAATCATTGTTTTATGTGGCCTACGAATGGGGCTAAGGACACCTGAAAAAGAAAATTTCAAAACAGAGGCAAAAACCACGTACAACTACTATATATATATATATATGTTTTTTATATCAAAATAATGTTTAAATTTCCTGTGTTCTTATGTCCTAATGTTAGAATATCATGTATTCATGCAGTAGCAAATTACTCCAGCTGAATGCTCTTAGAATTACATTGCATTTTGCAAGAAGATGGACATTCACAAAAATCAATGCTTCTGCCACTGCTGCATGAATGTTATGCTCTGGACAGAAAACGGAAATAAAAAATTCAGATTTGTTAAATTTAATCATAATCCTAATCATGTGCCACTTAAGCTTATGTTACAATTACCTCTTAAGTAGGTATCTTTCTTTCAATAAATCAGTTACCATTTTCTGCAACTTTTATGTCTCATTCTTTAAACATAAATTGTTAATGCTTTAACGAAAAATTATTGATTAGAAGAACAACAGATTTTTAATTTTGGGGTAGTATGTGGTAGCTCATACCTTTAATACCAGCACCCCAGAGGCAGAGGCAGGTGTATCTCTGTGAGTTCCAGTCTGGCCTGGTCACTGTAGAGAGTTCCAGGCCAGCCAGGGCTGCATAGTGTGACCCTTTCTGTGCTAATTTTTTTGTTTGTTTGTTTGTTTTTTGGTGTTTTTGAGACAGGGTCTCCCTATAACCCCAGCTGACCTGGAACTCAATTATGACTGGCCTTGAACTCACAGAGTTCTACCTGCCTCTGCCTCCCAAGTGCTGGGACTACAGGCATGCACTACCATGCCTGGCTAATCTTAACTATCTTAAGGCTGTCACAAGAGACGTGTTACTTAGAAATTTTTACTTCATTATTTGAGAAAAATTGTTAATTACAATTAGTGTAACTAGTAGGTCATGTTTAAGAGAAGTGGCATAGTAGTGTGCTGCAAATAAAAAGGATGAGTTTCTCAAAAACCTTTGCTTTATGTATTTATGTATACACATTCATTTGTATGGACAGTAAATAAGATCCAGTGTCTTTAACCACTACTATAAATTAAACATTTCTAATTAAAGTAAAGCTGGGCTTGGGGAGATGGCTCAGTGAGTAAAAGCCCAACAGCCTGAGTTCAGTCCCATGTACAGCCACATAGGTCTATAATCCCAGTGGTCCTATGGCAAGATAGGAAACAGAAACAAGAGAATCACCCAGAAGCTTCCAGGCCAGCTAGTCTGGAGTGCAGCACCACAGCAGCAGAAACAAGAGCAACCGTGCCTTAAGAAGGCAAAGCTCAGTGAGTAAAAGCCCAACAGCCTGAGTTCAGTCCCATGTACAGCCACATAGGTCTATAATCCCAGTGGTCCTATGGCAAGATAGGAAACAGAAACAAGAGAATCACCCAGAAGCTTCCAGGCCAGCTAGTCTGGAGTGCAGCACCACAGCAGCAGAAACAAGAGCAACCGTGCCTTAAGAAGGCAAAGATAAGCTTTTCGCCAAGATAGCACCGAAAGTGAAGAAGGAAGCTCCTGCCCCTCCCAAAGCCGAAGCCAAAGCGAAAGCCTTGAAAGCCAGGAAGGCAGCATTGAAAGGTGTCCACAGCCACAGAAAGAAGATCCTCATGTCACCCACCTGGTGGCCAAGACCCTGCAGCTCCAGAGGCAGCCCAAATACCCTTGCAAGAGCATTCCCAGGAGAAACAAGCTTGACCACTACGCCATCAGGTTCCCCCAACCACTGAGTCAGCCACGGAGAAGACAGAAGACAATACACTTGTGTTCATTGTGGATGTCAAGGCCAACAAGCACCAGCTCAAACAGGCTGTGAAGAAATTACGACAATGATGTGGCCAAAGTCAGTACCTTGATCAGACCCGACAGAGAGAAAAAGGCCTCTGTTCATCTGGCTCCTGATTAGGAGGCTTTGGATGTTACCAACAAAATTGGGATCAGCAATCTAATTCTAAATACAGATTTTTTTTCACCATTTAAAAAAAAGGTAAGAACCGACTCCCCAAAATTGTCCTCTGACCTCCATATACACACCATGGCATGCCCACACTCACACAAGTAAATACAGTTTTATAGAAAATAAAAATTAGGTAATAAGACCCCAAAAATTCCACGCACAAAATTTAGAGCAAATAAATTCAGTAACATTGCAAGATTAAAATCAGCATTCTTTGGACAAATAATGACCTAACTTAAACCAAGAAAACAGTCCCATTTATGACAACATCAAAGACAAAACACCTTTAAACAACCAAGGTGGAATATCTATACTGAAAGAAACTAAAACTGGTGAAAGCACTGGACAATGAAGATAGAAAGCTAGCCAGTGCTCATGGATCAGAGGCATTCTTCACAGAACAAACAAACCTCAAGTGTACATGGAAATATAAATGCAAATAGACCAATTCTGAGGGGGAAATGAATATATCCCATTTTCTGATTTGAAATAAAAAACTGGGTGCCATGGCTCATGTCTGTTGTTCCAGCCTACCTGGGAGGTTAAGGCAGAACGATCACTTGAGCCTGGGAGTTTGAGATCATCTTCAGCAACATAAGGCAGACTGCACTGCTCCCTCACTCTTTTTTGGGGGGGAGGGGGTCTTTTTGAGATAGGTTCTCCCTGTAGCCCCAGCTATCCTGGAACTATGTAGACCAGGCTGGCCTTGAACTCAGAGATCTGCCTGCCTCTGCCTCCCAAGTGCTGAGATTAAAGGCCGTGCACCACTGCACCCAGCTGGACTGCCCCTGTCCAAAAAAAAAAAAAAAAAAAAAAAATTGCAGAGAGTAATCAAAACAGTATGGTACTGAAATAAAAACAGACCAGTGGGACATAATCTCAGAAACAAATCCAAGTATAATTGGTTGAATAATTTTAAATGGTACTTTGTATTTTATGTGTGTGTTGCCTGCATATGTGTAATTGCACCATGTCTGTGCAGTGCCTACACAGGCCAGAAGAGGCCCATGTGGGTGCTGGGAATCAAACCTGTGTCCTCTGCAGAGCAGCCAGGGCTCTTAACTGCTGAGTCATCTTTCCAGCCCCATTAACTAGAAATTTTTAAAAATGCCAAGAGACAATGAAACAAAGTATTTGTTCTTTAAAAAGATAAACAAGGGGCTGGAGAGGTGGCTCAGTGGTTGAGAGCACTGACTGACCTTACAGAGGACCTGGGTTCGAGTCCCAGCATCCACATGGTGGCTACGAACTGTCCTTAACTCCAGTTCCAGGGGAATCTGAAGCCCTCTTCTGACCTCCGCAGCATTGCACGACACAGGTGTACTCACATGCAGGCAATACACTCATACACATAAAATGAAAATAGTAAAAATAATTTTTAAAAAGATACACAAGATAAACATGTTTGACTAGCATGCACAGAGCCCTGGTTTTGATCCCTAGCACTTGCATAAAACAGTTGTGGTGGCACACACCTGTAATCCCAGTACTTGGGAGGGAGAGGTAAGTAAATCAGAAGTTCAAGGTCATTCTCAGTTACATGGGTAGTTTGAGACCAGTCTGGGATACATGAGACTCTGCCCCCCCCCAAAAAAATAAGTGTGGGGGGGAAATGTTTTTAAAAAATTGTTAGCAAAATTAAAAGACCTTAATATAAGACCCAAAACTCTGAAAGTAGCAAAAATTCTTCAAGATACAGACATAGGCAAGGGTTTTCTGAAAAAGACTGCAGTTGCTCAGAAAATAATGCCAGGACTTAAAAACAAGCTCTCATGAAATTACAATGCAATACACAGCAAAGGAAACTGAGTGAAAAGAGAATCACAGAAAGTCTTGACGAGCTAGATAGCTGATGGAGGACTAATATTTAGAATATGCAAAAACTCAAAAAACTAAGCAGAAAAGAAACAGCCCAATAGAAAATGGTGAAATGAAATAAACCATTCTCAAAAAAAAAAAAAGTACAGGGCCACTTAGATGATGGCTCAATGGCTAAAGGCACTTGCTGCCAAGCCTGGTGACCTGAGTTCTAACCCTGGGACCCACAAGGTGGGAAAAAACTGACTCCTGCAAGTTCTCTGACCTTCACATACAGCCAATGGCACACATACACACTACATAAAAGTAATACATTTTAGGGGTTGGAGAGATGGCTCAGCAGTTAAGAGCACTCTGCTCTTGCAGAGGACCCGGGTTCGATTCCCAGAACCCACCGTCCTTAACTCCAGGTCCAGGGGAATCCGAAGCCCTCTTCTGACCTCTGCAGCATTGCACGACACGGGTGCACTCATATACATGCAGGCAATACACTCATACATAAAAATACTTTAAAAAGTAATACATTTTAATAATTTTAATACATTTTAATGACTGCAAATGGCTAATAAGCATGCCTATGAGGGATCATCTTGTTTAAGCTGAGGTGGGAAAATTCAGCCTAAAAAATCGGGTGGCACCATTCCCTGTGCATGGGTCCTGGACTGAATGAAAGGGAGTCAGCTGAGCATGCAAATGTAAGGTGACCAGTTCCTTCAAGCTCCTGTCGCTGTGAGTTCCTCACCATGATAGACTGTAACCTCAAACTGTGAGCCAAAGTAAACCCTTTAGTTGCTTTTGCTAGTATTAACATGGCAATTGGAAAACTAAGTCACTAGCCATCAGAGAAATATAAGTCAAGACTACATGGATTCCACATCACCCCACAGAATGGTAGCCATTAAGAAAACAAATTCTGGCAAATAAGTTGTGATAGTCAACTGACAGACACACCTCTTAGGTGCAGGTCTGTGAGGCATTAACTGAGGAGGGAACACCCTCTCCCCAGAGTGGGCAGCATGTTCCAGTGGTGGCCCAAATATAAAATAATTCAAGGGAAAAGGGAAAAGCACTGCTTCTTTTGCCTGCCTTTGCTCCTTGCTGGTAAGTACACCTACCTTGTTGCTGCCACCATTGGCATCCTTTGTTGACATAGGAACCCAGTGCTGTTGACCTACCAGTGTGCACTAAAGACTGACTCTCCAGGAATCTTCCAGGCCTTCAGGGTCAGATTGGGATGACTAAGGCATCCAGCCTGTGGACTGAGTAGCTGGCAAGATCTCAGCTTCTCCACTGTGCAGTCACTGTTGGACTACCCAACCCCTATCATGTGAGACAATCTAATAAATCCTCTGGCTATATTCAGTCTATTGCTTCTATCCCCTAGAGAACCTTAATATGTACAAAAGGAAATCTCTGTACACTGCTGGTGGGAATATAAACTCATCTAGCCTCTAGGGACATCAGTATGAAGGTTTCTCAAAAAAACAAAAATAGATCTTCCATATGACCCAGCTATACAACTACTGGGTATTTATCCAAAGGACGCCAGTGTAGGACAGAGATACTTGCACATTAATGTTTATTATGGCATTGTTTACAATGGCTAAGTCATGGAACCAACCTTGGTGTCCAAAAACAGAGGACTGGATAAAGGAAATGTATATGTGCACAGGAGAAGGAAGAGTGTAGGGGAGGAGTAAGTTCAACATACAATATATACTTGCATTGAAACAGAAGTATGCTTTCAATAACCAGAAGGTATATGAAAAAGTATTCCATATTATCAAGACAGTGTAACTCAAAAGCACCATGAAATAGTTTACACTTGATAAGATAGCTGTTATCAAAAGTCCAAACATAATAAACACTGGCAAGGGTGTGGAGAAACAGGAATTCTTAAATACTATCATCAGTGACTGATGGAAAGTAGTACAAAAGATACAGTAACTATAGTAGTAACTAAAGTAGTAACTGAAGATATATCCTTTTCTAGAAAGCAAGTCTACATTTTAATAATGCTTCTTGGGGGCTGGAGAGATGGCTCAGCAGTTAAGAGCATTAGCTGCTCTTGCAGAGAACCCAGGTCTGGTTCCCAGCACCCACATGGTGGCAAACAATCATCTGTAACTCCAGTTCCAAGGGATCTGACACCCTCTTCTGACCTCCTTGGGCATTGCACAACATGGGCACACTTAAACATACATGCAGGCAATACACTCATAAAAATAAATAAAATTAATGCTTCTCTTTAAGATCTTTTAAAGGTACTTTATTAATGACACTTAAAAAATGTTTGACCACTGTAAGGAACTTTTGTACATCCATCTATGATTATAATCTCACTGATTCAGAGAAAAAATTTGAGTATGATGCTCTAAACAAACAATTATCATTGCTTCACTGTGATGCTGACATTGCTTTTGTGGTGCTGAACATTGAGAACAAGTTCCTCTCCCACTTCCACCTGGATGGGATTATCCAGAACCACCGCTGCTTGTTTCCAGTGGGAGGCTTCACCTGAGGTGTCCAACCTGATCTCTTCATCAAGGCACATATGAAACCAAAATGGAACAGCAGTCACTCGTCCAGATCTACAAATGTGAACCTATGGAAAGAAAGACATTAAGAAATTTTATCAGGGAAAGTTAAGTCTCCTTTCTTTTTAGTCAATTAAACATAAAAATTGAAAATCACTTATTTCAATTTAATATTAGCCACTAATATTTACTCAAATCCATTTCTGCATTTTTTTAGAAAAGAATCTTCAAAGGAAGTGAAAAAAAATATGTGAATATGGCATTACATAGTTTAAGGTAATTCTGAGTATGCTGGGTGATCATTCACATGTTGCCCTTACCTTTACTTCTCTGTTGGAAGTGTTCAAATATGGAGTCATCAAATCTAGTCTTAAGAGTTCCACTGGCTGGCTTAAAGGTGTGCAAGGCAATGAGGACAGATCCAAAAACACACGGATAGGCACCTGAGGAAGGAGGACATTTTTCACTAGATTGTTTCTGTAGTCAAGGTTCATCTCATTCTTGATTTGTATTTCACTCATGAGAGAATGCTTTTTATCAGTGTTGCCTCATTTATTTCACACATCAACCTAAGGCATAAAGCCTCATGACCCAGTTTTACAGGATGAATGAACAAGCAAAAGTTTCAGCAGATTAAATACGATGCTATGATTTCAGTTTCCTGTAGGTCTTCCTCTTGAATAAAAACTGATTAAACTTTTACATGGCCTAATACTTCCATGTGCTTCTTTTTTATTTATTTATTTTTATTCATTTCCTCTTTTTATTTTTTTAATTTGGTCTTTTTGAGACAGGGTCTCCCTGTAGCCACAGCTGTCCTGGAACTCACTATGTAGACCAGGCTGCCCTCATCTCACTCTGCCTCCTGAGTGCTGGGATTAAAGAAACTAAAGATATACCACACCCAGCTCCGAAAGCTTTTAAACCTAGGATTAGTGAACTAATAAGCAAATTGTCTAACCATATTTGTTTGATCAAAGACATCAAGTTCATCCAAACATTTAATCTTAGAAAAACATTTATACACAGTAGTGGTTCTCAACCTTGCCTGCAAATTAAAAATCAACTGGGGAGTTTCCAAAAGGCCTACCTGCTCAGGCCACACCCCACACCAATCTGGGGTCAGGATCCAGGTCTGAGTTCTCAAAGTCCTCAATTGCAGCAATCTTAGCTACAGTGGACCTGCTACTCCTACATTTAGCCTCTTCCTCATTTGAAATACAAAGAGAAGAATTGCTTAAAAGCTGCTTTCCTTTCTTTTAACATGCAAAAGTTCAACCTACATGGTGAAACTGGCTGTGATACATAAACCTCTCCCTAGGCATTCTTAAAAACAGCCAACCTTTCATAAAAGCTCAGTGGTCCTATGCCAGTTGAGATTAAAGGCGTGCACCACCTCACCTGGCCCATTATGCCTGGATTCCCATCACTTCTCACTGTCTGGACCCTCCTACATCCCCACCCTTACCTCATTGTCTGTCCCCACTTTTGTTTCTCAGCTTAACGTTTCTCACTATCATCATAACCAGTTCCTTCAAGGTGACAAGCAACCTAGAGCTCCTAACTTTAAAAGTTCTCTAAATTCAACCCTCTTTTAGCACACCTCCAATAGTTCATCTACTCTTATGGCTTTAAATACCATCTATGTGCTGACTGCCAAACAAATTTTCTCTGACCTCTTAACCAGCTGCTCAATGACCCCTCCTGACACATCCTACACACAAACACCACCTATCTTTCTGCTATTTTCCTCCCTGGTGTTTTGACCTTCATGAAGGACTACATGGAGTCCCCTCTCATAGTCCAAATCCAGGCTAAATATATTTTTCAAAAAGTATAGCTAGTTGACCCAGTGTCTTCTGTCATTTCCATGTTAGACATTCTTATTAGATTATCAGGTGGACAGAATGCCACATGATAGTCTATGCTCTACTGCACAGGCCTCTCAGTGAAAGGGTCTGCACACAACTGTGAGCTTCTTGGATCCACAGTTCAGTAGTTACCCTTCTGTCCTGAGGAGGATGAGGAAGAGGTACTTTTTTTCCCTTTATTTTTTAAATATATTATTTTTATTTTATGTGTATGGGTGTATTGCCTGCACGTATGTGAGTGCACACATGTCATGAAATGCCACAGAGCTCAGAAGATGGCATCAGATTCCCCGGAACTGGAGTTAAGGATCCTTCGTAGCTGCCATGTAGGTGCTGGGAATCAAACCTGGGTCCTCTGCAAGAGCAGTCAGTGCTCTCAACCACTGAGCCATCTCTCCCTTCATTTTTTTAACCATTAAAACAATTATGAGGTGCTGGAGAGATGGCTCAGTGGTTAAGAGTACTGACTGCTCTTGTAGAGGGCCTGGGTTTGAGTCCTAGCACCCACATGATGGCTAACAACTACCTGTAACTCCAGTTCCGGACACCCTCTTCTGACCTCTGCAGGCATTGCACAAGACAGGTGTACTTACATACATGCAAGCAATACACTCATACACAAAATAAAATTTTTTTAAATTTTAAAAATCCAGTTATAAAGTGTGCCGTCCCATTGATGAAAGGCCTGGGAATGCCATTTCCCCCTAAACTGACTGCAAACAGTAACTTTGGCTTAAAATTTTTAAGTCTCCCTTGTAGGCAGCGGTTTTTCTTTTCAAATAGGGTGGGTCCTGAGGGGAGCAAGGTGAGGATGAGGAACAAACAGGTGTATATGAGGGCTGAGAGGAGGAACGAGACTGTTTTCCAAGCTGCACAAAACCCCAGGTAAACTAGATTCTGTGGTGACAACAGTTTCAGGTTCTCCATACACGTACACACATACACACAGGGAAAAGGCATGTATTGTGACTGTTACGACTAGCCAATCATAAGTTGTACATCACAGATGACTTGTAAAAGCAATGAATTCATCATTGATAATCAAAATGTCCAGTGGCTATGACTCATATAGTGAACTCTGAGTGCCCATGTCAGCTAGGGCAAGAGGGTACAGGCAGCCTATTATCATGCCCATACTAGCTGGCTCAAAGGGCAGATTCTGCATATGAAGCAGAGTGGCTTTGCTCCACTACAGCTGTGTGGCAGCACGGTTATCCTTGAGGAAGCCCAGGATGTTCCCAGTGCTGAATTTCTGCACTGCAATGGTACAGGCTGTCCTCCTGCACCAGGTTCACCAGGACAGGAAGGCAAAATGCTCTTGGTATAGGGATAGGTCCAACTGCCTTGAGATGTTGGTTGGTGTGACAGTGTTTTCCCAGGACATCCCAAGCAGTCCCATTACCAATCCCCGTTGTTACAGCTTGTCCCTTGGCCCAGTTCTCCTTCCTCACAAGCTGTTGGTGCCTGCTTCCACTCTGGGTGCTTGTGGTGCAACAGAATCAGCTTGCCTAGAATAAAGACTATCCCTGGGTGTTTAGCTATCTCAGAGTCAATGCCTGGCCCAAAAGGCAGGCTACAGATAAGTAGTGGAGACAAAGACACAGAACATGGACAGGGAATTGAGAATGTACACAGTGGAGTCTCATCCATACCTTGGGGCTCATCCTCTAGGATCTTTTTCTAGTGGTTCTGAGCTGGGCTAATGCCAGAGGGAAGCTTGCTTTCCTTGGTGACCTCTGCATTCTTAGCTCCTTCCTCAATCAACATGCTAGACCAGGTAGACACATCCCACAGGGGCTGTGATTTGTTTTTCTAGAAAGCCATTGGGCAAGATCCCCTCTTGCCATGCTGTCCCTGACATGTCCTGTTGTGACATGCTGGGTGAAAAGGCAGCAGCTCTATTCTACTCTCTCTTTTTCCTATTAATGTGGTATGGATATGCCCAGTGGGGTCCTCACCACCAATCCACCAGTGCAGTGGGCCACTGTCAAACTCCTGTGCATGCCCAAACTTATGTGAGCAATCCATCAGAAATGAGTCATTCTTCCAAAGGTCCTTTACCGGCAAGCTTGTGAAACTTACCGATTATCTTCTCAATACTCTGTGAAGATAGTACGTCCTTGCCAGAAAGAACATCTTATCATCATTTACAACTGCTCCTTCCTCCTCTAGTTGAAGCCTATAAGTTGTTCTTTCACCCTCTTCATAGGGACTAGACACCTTGCTGAATCTCCCAGTCTGGTAGTATTCTGTCATATTTCTTTAAAATGCTAAAGATCTCAACTAGGCATTGACTGAAATATTCCACAAGGAGCTCTACTCCCTGGGGTCTATTGTTGAAAGTCACAATGCTGTTGTCATCATATGTTAATGGAGTCTACTGGTCTAATGGTTAATGGTGTCTAATGGCTGTTAATGGTGTCTAATGCTCTCTCTGCCAGAAGTCCAGGCTTGAAGGTAAGGACATGATTACCTGCCACGCCTCTGAGGTACCCATGTCTTTCATTGTAAACTTCTTTTTCTGCTTCAAAACAGGCTTCGTGGCTTCAGCAGAGTCAGGTGGAAAGGTGGTATCCTGTGAATCATAGGGAGCTACACAGGAGCAGATGCTGCGTAAAGCAGGTGCTGGTGAACCTGCCTCCTGCATGTTCATCTCAGTGCAGAAATGGATGTGTGGCCTAGGAATACAATCCGTATGCTTGGTGGAGGCTGATAATCAAGTGGAGGGATCTTGTCATGGGGAGGCAAAGGGGCAGAAAGACAATATGGAGGCTATTATAAGTTATGGGAAGGCCATGGGCCTTCACAGTTGATCCTGTGATCTGTACACAGCACTGTATCTGTTTGGTTCGTGCCATGATACCCAGGACCCTGGAGGGCAGTACCTGTGTTCTGGCTGCTGGCAACATTATAGGTCACCTCATTAAGCCCCTGCCACATGGTGCTCTGCTAAGCCCTCTCAGCTGAGGTCACCTATTGTTTGTGATGGGATATTGTAATGGGCAATGGGGCCATGGCTTCAGAAACAGTCTCAGCCAAACTGGGATGGAAACTGGTTCTAGGGGTGGAGTTGCCTATTCGCTAGTGTTCATCAACAGCAGTGGCAACAGTAAGACAGGTATCGCCATATTGGTTGCATACATCTTGCTGAGGGGAAGTCTGGGCAGCTTGTTACTGGTTGGCAAATTAGGACTGGGCTGGGCCAACTGCAGCTGAGGCTGCCCCTGCCCAGCATTATATGGTTCACAATCTCCCCTTCACACCACTTGGCAGGAGTATGTGCCATCCATCTGCTTGCTGCTGCTGCTACAATGTGGTGGTCTGGATGAAGAAGGGGCTACCAGGAGGGGTGCTTGTGGGGAGAGCTGAGTGCCATAGGAATCATGCCATTGCTCCTGCTGCTGCTGAAGGGGTAGGGGTAGCAGCTAGAAGAGTAAGTCCTGAGTCTAGGAGAGAAGAGATGGAGATTCTGCTGAGAGCCCAGTGTCCCTATTTACTTCAGGCCTCATTCCAGGCCGTCCTCAATCTTCCCTAAGTGCCTCACAAGTACACAGCCCCATTTTCGTGCCAGCATGGTTACAGGGGTCTACCCATACTACATTTTGGGCCCTGTCTCCTGTGAAGACATGTAGCAATCACTCACTCTGATGTTGCCATAAGGATCCTTATTTGCCCCACAGCATATGAACTGCATCATATACTGGGCAATTATATAGGGATTAGAGTTCTGCAATTCCACTTTTGGAATCAGAAAAAACATCCAGGATCCTGTAGCCTGACTGAATTGCTCCTCCTACCATGGACTTGCTGGTTGAGTAAAGAGTTCATAGTCCTGGCATAGATCCTGATCCTACAGGAGAGCAAGGCTGGGTATTGAGCTGGGACTTCTTGGAATCAGCAGTTGCAAAGATATCTGGTGAAGGGTCTTCTCCCCATTTAATCTTCCACTCAAAGACAGAGATGATGGATATACTGTTTTTTTAAGGAGCTGACAACACTGCTTGATGTGCCCAAACTGAGGTTGGTTGCAAGTTCTTTTGTTCTTATTGACCTGAGTCAATCCACCAGCCTTCTTCACAGACATGGAGGCAACAAAGATCAAAAGGTTTCCTATCCACAGGAGGCAGATTTGTTGTGCCCATGGCCTTCTCTGTGAAGGCTACATAACAGTTTACCTATTCTCAAGCTTACACTCCAGGTCATACAGCTAGTGATCTTCTAACTGGTTAGAGTAGAATGATACTTTGCATGGCTTTGGATTCTGTCTTGGAAGTTCCACCTGCCTGGTCATGTTAGTGTCTGGAGTTAAACTGATGCCTCCCAGGCCCATCAACTCTGCTTAACTGGTGTTCGTGGTTCCACCCAAGTTCAATCATGCTGCTATTTTCTTTCTTTTTTTCCCATTTGGTTTGAGACAGGGTCTCCCTGTAACCCAGGCTGGCCTCTATCTCAGAGAGATCAGCTTGCCTCTGACTCCTAAGTGCTGGGATTAAATGCATGCACCACCATGCCTGGCTTTTCCATGCCCACATTTTAAACTCACAAATGTACACTTTGCTTCTAGTGCCTGCGCCACTTTCACCATCATTTCTAAGTTCTCTTGAGCTCCATTTTTTTTTCCCTAGGCTGCTACCTGTAGACAGATGACCTAGATCCTGGACTTCGGCTGCTAAAGTCAATCAATAGTCAATAGGAAGCTTCAATATAGAAATGCAAGTTTAGACTGGGCATGGTGGCACACACCTTTAATTCCAGTACTTGGGAGGCAGAGACAGGCAGATCTCTGTCACTTTGAGGCCAGCCTGGTCTACATAGCAAGTTCCAGGCCAGCTGGGGAAGACCCTGTCTCAAGAAGACAGAAAAAAACAAAAACAAAAAAAACCCACAAAGAAGAAATACAAGTTCAGGACACAGATTTTCTGGATGCTTCTTTGTCATACAAGGACAACGCTTTTTTACAAATCTAAAACTTAGTGCTCTACTTTTCATCTGTAACAGTGATTTGGAGGACTATCTATAACTTTTAGTCAAAATTTATGATAAAATTCCTTGGTTATTCTAACCCCCAAGGTTGATTTCATCAGCAATATGTTCCTGTACACTAGGAAACTTGACTGCCATTCTAACCCAGCTAAACCCAGTGACCAAGTAAAACTAAAAAGAGAAACAAAGCAGATGGCAAACAGCAACATTCTGGTTTAATAACTTCTCTAAACACTTACCTGAAACTGGTTAATGAAAGGGGCTATGTTTAACCCAAGAGTACGCTCTGCTCCTTGAACAGCATTCTCCTCTACCAGCGTCTGTGACTCTACCAGCATCCCAAACATCAGCACGTACTGGGGAAAGATCTTGCCTCCAGACTGCAATAAACATCTAAAAAAGGGTAAATATTTTTAAATGTTCTAATTCCCTATATTTTATACATATCAACAAATAAGAATCCTAAATTTGTAAGATATAGATATAGAGACCAATACACTTTGTTGTTATTGGTTGGTTTTTCACAATTTAAACCGCTGGAAATGAGAGGCTGCTAACCTATGAAAGAGAAAATGAGCAATCAGATGGGTTGATTTCAATCCTTAAATACAGGCAATGGTCACCGATGGCTGTGATAATGAAGGTTAATCGAAACTACTCCAAAATCCAACACTTTTCTAAGAGCTCATACAAAGCAATATGTAGGAAATTCAACATCTGATTTCACGAACAGGTTGCAGTCGAAACACAAGTACAGCTGGGCGTGGTGGTGCACATGCCTTTAATCCCAGCACTGGGATGGGATGGTGGATCTCTATGAGTTCGAGGCCAGCCTGGTCTACATAGTGAGTTCCAGGACAGCTGGGGCTACAGGGAGACCTATCTCAAAAAGACCAAAAAAAGAGCAAAAGAGCACACAATCAAGATCTGTGAGGAAAGATGGTCCTGTGGTAAAGAATGGCTGGAGTGAAGGTGTGTGTGGGCTTGGGAAAGCCTGTCTAAGAAGTAGCATCAAGTACAGCCATGAGGAACCCATGGGTGAGAGTTCCAGGCAGGCGGAACAGCCATCCGAAGGCTCCAAGGCAGGCACTGGTACAATAAAAATATTGTATAAAATTGCATTCAGATATGTATAAGGTATATATAAAACATGAATTAATTTCATGTGTTGACTTAAAACTTCCTCCCCAAGATATCCCATTATATGTATGCAACTATTCCCAAATCCAAACTCATCAGAAGAACTTCTGATCCCAAGCATTTTAGATAAGGTAAAAGTTTAATTAGGAAAAGCACAGTCCCAAAGTATTACCACAAACGGCTTACTCATTATCAAAGAGTAACCTACTGTGGAGAAACCTGGTGATACAACTTAAACCAAGTGATCTAAATTATCAGTAATGGAACAAACACCTTTCTATGTTGTTTTTCTCTACAATGGATAGTGGGGACCTAATCCTAAGAAAACATGAGGAACCGTGCAGAATAAATGGCCTGTACTCTTCAAAACTGTTTGTCATACAGTCTGGGGAACTGTCAGAATAAAGGAGGCCAAAGAAATAAATTATGAAGGACATTGTGACAATCAAAATAGGGATAAGATTTGTAGATCAGATAACAATACTGAGTCCAGGCAAACACTCATTTTGGTAACTGAACAGTAATTGTATAAGTATTAGGGCTAGAAAAGGGCATGCTATCTGGATCTTACTTTAGGGTTCAGGGAAAGAAAGACCAAGCAAATCTGGTAAAATCTGGGTGTAAAGTTCTTTGTTCTTTAACTCCTGTGAAAGCTTGAAATGATTTCACTATAAAAGGTTACACCTTCTAAATGCAAATATATACATAAATCAAAATATTCTAGAAAGAAGAATAAGACAAGGGTTAACGAAACCTTTTCTCTTACTACAAGTGCCCTTCAATTCACCTTCACTCTCCCTGGAAATCCCACAAAAAAGGCAACAACAACATTGCTAATGGTTAAAAAAAAAAAGTATCTTACTAAGAAGGCTGTACCTGGACAGAGAATTAGGAACAAAAAATAAATGACTGATAGAAAGCCATTATTTCCTGGAGCATTCCCTGAGTGTGGGTTAATTTATAATCAGGTGTTCCTGTAGCTGCGATTTGGAAGGCAAAATCAGTTCCTATGAGTTAAAGGCTCTTAAACTATCATGAAGTCTTGTTTCTCATGCCCGAACCGTAAAATGAAGCAGAAGTACCTTAAAATCAAGTAAAACTATTCTTTATTTGCCATATCTATAAACAACAAGTTCCTTGCTTTTGCTGAGTGCTTCAGGCTACTTTCTACATGAACTTCTAGAACACAGTGTAACACATAGGTGGACTCTGTATAATCATGAGTATCTTTCACAGTAAGTTTTACACGAAAGTTAAAGAAATAAGGACCTACTTTAAAATAAATAAATAAATAAATAAATAAATACAAGAGCTAGCGAGATAGTTTAATATGTTAAACGCACCAGCTGCTCTTACAGAGGACCTGGGTTCAGTTCCCAACACCTACATGGCGGCTTACAACCCAGTTCCAGGAGACTTCACACGCAGAAAATTTTTTTTAAAAAATACAGACTAGACATCTGAATAATCTGTACATATTTGAACAATAATTTGTATACATTTTTCAAATTTTATGCTATGTAGTTTCCTTAAATAGATTAAAACCAGGGCTAGGGAGATGAGTCAAGGGATAAATCCCTTGCAGTGTAAGTGTGAGGACTTAAGTTTAGATCCCCAGCACCCATATAAAAGTGGCATCCCACCTGTAATCCTAGCACTCACTCAGAAGGCAGATCTTTGGGGCAAGTTGTGAGTTAGACTAATTAGCAAGCTGTGGGCTCAGTAAGACACCTTGATTCAAAAAAAAAAGGGAAAAGCAACTGAGGAAGACACTCAACATCAACCTCTAGCCCCCTCACACTCACATGTACATGCATGTCTACACATACACACATGCAAACGTGCACACAAACACACTGAATACACAGACATGCAAAAAACCTAGGCAAACTATAATACATTTCATTTCTAAAATCCACTTTGACACTTCTGCTCTTAAATTATCTTTGAATTATTGTCTCCAGGTTTTTACTAAACCTATCCAGTTTTTTCACCATTTAAAGAACAAGTAAAGCCCGAACGGCAACTAGATTAATAATGACAAGATATGGCAACTAGTTACTGCAGCGCAGGGCCTTTGATTAGAACCAAGACTAGAGAAGCCATAACATTACAGATACACTTCATACCCATGTTTACTGTTGCTCTTTTCACAGTAACAAGGAAATGGAGTTAACTTAGATGTCCATCAACAAGATGATTGTATAATGAAAACGTATTTATAGGAAAATAGATGGAACTGGAAAATTATTTATTTATTTATTTTTACTTATTTTGGTCTTTTTGAGACAGGGTCTCCCTGTAGCCCCAGCTGACCTGGAACTAATTGGCCTTAAACTCATCTGCCTCTGCCTCTGCCTCTGCCTCCCGAGTGATAGGATGAAAAGCGTGCGCCACCTCACCTCGCCCAGCTTGGAAAGCATTATTTTTAAGTGAGGTAACACAGGCTAAGAAAGACAAATACCACATGTTCTCTCTCCTATGCAGATCCTAGCCTTTGTTAAATATGTGTATCCAGGTAGGAGAAAATACAGAGAGAAGCCAGGAAATTAGAAAGGGGCCCATGTGACTGGAAAAAAAAAAAAAGACTTTCTAAGGTAAGGTGTGGAGAAGACAAGCCAAAGTAGGATAGAAAACTGGGTCAAAGAGCACAATAGGGAGTCAGGAGAATGAAGGTGGACCAGGCAAAGGGACGAAAACCGACCAAAATAAAGGATGAAAATTCCATATGGAAATCTATTATTCTATAAGCTAATTTTAAAAGCCAAAAATCTTTTAAAAGTACCGGGTCAGCAGGAGTAAATTTGATACGGGCTATACATCAATGTTAAATTTCCTAAGTATCATAATTTTATAGGGAAAAGCCTTCATTTGCACAGGGAAGAATTGGTGGTCAAGCGATATAATGCTCTGTGACTAGTTCTCCCGTCTGAGACTTTTGTAATCTTAAGGAAAATTAGATCTGGTTTTCATTTAAATAGACCACTATTAGCAGATGACTTTATTTGTTCAGATAATTTTTTAATATTTGTTATTTTTCTATAATATGTGTATGAGTTTTATTGCCTACATGTATGAAAATGCAATGCCCATGGAGGTCAGAAGGGGGTGTTGGATCTCCTGGAACTGCAGTTACAGACAGTTGTTAGCTGCCATGTGGTTGCTGGGAAGCAAACTTGCATCTTCTACATCTTCTGCAAAAGCAGCCAGTGCTCTTAACTGCTGAGCCATTACTCCAGCCCAATGTTCAGATAATTTTACTACAGGAATTTTCAGTATTAAGCCTAATTGGTTTGAGAAGACTTCAGTGATTTTTGTATAATATAAAGCTTTAGCTGGGTGTGGTGGTGCACACCTTTAATCCCAGAGGCAGATGGATCTCTGTGAGTTCAAGGCCAGCCTGGTCTACATAGTGAGTTCCAGGGCAGCTGGGGCTACAGGGAGACCCTGTCTCAAAAAGACCAAA